TCTCGTTTTTATTTTTCTATAAAAATAGTTTCCAGTTCTAAAAAATGGATTGTTTTAAAAAACAATCTGCCAAACAAATTTTATGTATATTTTGAAAACAAAAATATAACTAAACAAACCCTAGGCTATTATGCTTACACTATTATGCTTTGTTTGGAACGAGAGAAAGAGATGGAAATTGAGAAACAAAAGAAGCAAAAGGAAAGGGGAAAAGATACATTGAGCCTTCGTTTGGGAAGTGGATTGACTTTTTAGCTTTTTGGCTATTTTAGCCTGAGCTAAAAAGTTTGATTTGGGAATAGCTTTTTGGGCTTTTTTTTGGGAAAATCGGTCTAAGGTCCCTATCCAACTTTTAGTAATAGATTAGGTCCACAATCTATTCTTTTGTAGTCTAAGGTCCTCCCTCACCCATACCCATATATAACATTCACACTCTCATTCTCTCTCCTCTCTCTTTTTGCACCAAACAACCCCTCTCTCTCTCTCCTCTTCGTCCTCAACATTCTTCGGAGTTTCACCACCGCCCCAACATTATACACAGACTTTGAGATCAATTCATTCTTAACAATTATACACATACTTTGAGATCAAATGCATAGATAGAGAGAGAAAGAGAGGAGAGAGAGAGAGAGGGGGAGAGAGAGAGAGTACATCCGAGATGATGATACGGAAACTCTCTCCCTCCTCTCTTTCATATCCAGACCTCCTCCTCGCTTCTCTCTTTTCAACCACTCCCATTTTGGAAGAACCAGTACACCCTTTGAGGTGGAAGACCCTTTGAAATCTCTCGATTCCATTCCATTCCCTCCTGCTATAACTATATATTATTATCAATAACAGCAACAACAAAATGGTATGAGGCAGCAAGTTATTAGGTGTGGCGGCGGCATTAATGTTAGTGTTAATGGTGTGGAGCTGGTCGGCAATGGTCGGAATGCCGCGATCTGAGCCACGAACCATCACGATCTCAGTCTGACCACTGCGATCTAAGCTGAAATCAGCGCTGACGGTCGAGTTGCCTTGATGTCGTGGCTGTCTTCATCGTCACCGTCGCCGCTGTTGTTGTCGTCGCCGAGCACGGCCGCTTGATGGTGGTGAGGTGGAAGTCTCAGCCATCTTCATCATCTTCTCTTCTTCAACCTCCTCTTTGTAGAAACCAATCGGTCAAGGCTTCTCTGCTAAGTACATGTGTGATATATATATATAACAAAAAAACTCAAAAAAGCCAAAAAGCCAAAAAGCTCTTCCCAAACCAAGCTTTTAAACCCAGGCTAAAAAAGCCAAAAAGTCAAAAAGCCAACCCACTTCCCAAACGGAGGCAACATATGTTTAGTGAGTTGTCAAATGAGGGTGGTTAGCGTGAACGAATATGGTGATTGGCCATACAAGTGGTCAGAAATTGTCAAAAGTTACAGGGTAAACAAGAATAATATTATATGTATTAATTGATATACTAATTAATATTTATTAATGATATGACATAATTTAATAAGATATTAATATTTATAATGTAATTAATGAGTAAGTCAATAATATTGTCATAACTAATATTATGAATATAACACTACCAAATAAACAAAGATCAAGTGTGATCATTAAATCACTAGACTAGCTTCTTAACTCGTGAAAACAATACCTGAGCATGAGCCATCAAATTAACAATAAAAAATAGGGAAAATCGGTCTAAGGTCCCTATCCAACTTTTAGTAATAGATTAGGTCCACAATCTATTCTTTTGTAGTCTAAGGTCCTCCCTCACCCATACCCATATATAACATTCACTCTCTCATTCTCTCTCCTCTCTTTTTTTGCACCAAACAACCCCTCTGTTAGTGTTAATGGTGTGGAGCTGGTCGGCAATGGTCGGAATGCCGCGATCTGAGCCACGAACCATCACGATCTCAGTCTAACCACTGCGATCTAAGCTGAAATCAGCGCTGACGGTCGAGTTGCCTTGATGTCGTGGCTGTCTTCATCGTCACCGTCGCCGCTGTTGTTGTCGTCGCCGAGCACGGCCGCTTGATGGTGGTGAGGTGGAAGTCTCAGCCATCTTCATCATCTTCTCTTCTTCAACCTCCTCTTTGTAGAAACCAATCGGTCAAGGCTTCTCTGCTAAGTACATGTGTGATATATATATATACAAAGTAACATAAATCTCAAATTATAGAAACCATTAATGCAATTCGCCCTTTAACATTTATATATGAACATCACTATAATATATAATGGTTTTGGGGACCACAATTCTCCCCAAAAGTGAAACTTTGTTAAAAAAAACGTTCGAGGACTAATTCCTAGTCACTAAAAGGCAAAAAAAGTGCCAAAATTTTAAAAATTTTATTAATAAATATATTTTTTTATGAACAAAACAATTTGGTGTAAAAAATATTTATTTTTTTAGATAAATTTTGAACCCACACTAAATGTCAAATTTCGTAAGTAAAAATACAAAAGTAACACTTTTAAAAATTATAAAATATTTCATTTCTAAAACTTAATCTTATTCATAAATTGTTTTGTCTAAAACTTTAAGTCATCTTATCGTAGTAATGATACGACGTTTACTCAAAAACTTTGGCTTGAGAAAAATTGACATAAAGAATACTTTTGGTGTTTGTGTCCCATCTGTCTGTGTGTCACGTATGAGAGCTGCTTGGTAACTATACAAACCACGCAACGCATACGAACCCCGTGTTGCATGTGGCTATCCTCGTGTCCCATGCAAATGCAAATAGTATATTTTTTTTTTTATATTAGGAATTGCAATATTAATATTAGTACATAGGCATGTTCTGTAGATTTCACTTAGATCTGGATCTATTTGAAAAGTCAAACCAATCTTTTTCCATATACATAAATGTAATTATTTGGGGGTGTTTTTGTTTTTGTTTTTGTTTTTGGTTGATTATTATTTATTTTTTGTTTAAATAAAAATTTTACAATTTATTGGTATTTTTAAAAACTAATTACTGGTTTATTATTTTAATTATTAATATTTGTAAAATTTACCATTGATCTGAAACTCTTTTGTTAAACTTACATTGAATTGTAATTTCACCAAACAAATTTTGTTGTCTACAAAAAAAAAAAAAAAAGAGAGAGAGAAGAAAACATTCAACTTGTTTGGTTTAGATTTTTATGATTCACTTTTTAGAAAATTAAAATTTTTTGTTTTATATATATATATATATTTTGTTTTCACTAAATTTTTTTAATATTCTAAACAGTTTTTTTTTTTTTAAATTTTAGATACACCTAAATATATATGCACTTAAAATTCACTAAATACCAAAAATAAAAAAATAAAAAAAAATATAAGAATTCAATACATTTTTCATATTCTTATGTATTCATTGATTTTTTAAAATATTTTTTTACAAATATTTTACTTTTTAGATACATTTAAGTAGTGTGCATCTAAAAACGTAAAAAAAATTCCTTAAACTTTTAAAAATATTAACTAAAAAAAAATACAAAAAAAAATCAATTTTAAAAAATATGAATCCAGAAAATTAAAACCAAACCCACCAAATTATCTTCCTTTAGCAAAAGCTACTTTACCCTTGTAGTAGCATCAATCTAACGGTGATTATTGCTGAGAATTTTTTTCCGAGAAAATTATGCTTATCTCATGCACAATCGAAGGGACAAACTGGTAATTCTGAATATATAATCTGCTGGCTTGGCTTTGATAATGGTTGAGGGAGTTCGTGCTCTCATGTGCAAATCATCTTCTCCTTTACTCAACAATGTTAAGGAGAATCCTTATCATTGAAGTTTTAAAATAGCGTTTGAGATTTATCCGATTGTATGCTACAATCCATTGTTGCTCCTTTGACGATGAGCCACTCTAGTGCAACAAACTGAAGTGACATCTACTCTAAGGAAGGGGGGAGGGTCAAAATGTTTGTGTTAAGCATGTAGTTGGTAAAAGTTAACCAATTAGGTCAGAGTTTAGTTGAGCATCATGATTCTCTTAAAACTGTGTTTGATTCGGGAATTTTGAAAAAGAAAGAAAAATTAGTGCGAAATTAGATGAAATACATGTATATACTATTCATATTTTACCGTACTTTTTCATTTCTCTTCCCAAATCTCTCATCAAATCTTTAAACTAAACACAATCTAAGGGTTTAGTCCCAAGGGATGGTCATAGTTGAATTAGAAGGTAAGCATTTAGTACTTTGCAAGAATGTGAAAACTAACTCCCATTTCAAAAAAAAAAAAAAAAAAAAAAAAAAAAAATTAATTCATTTGAAATCAACCCATTATGCAAATAAATCAAAATTGAACATATTTACAAAAAAAAAAAAATTTATTTCAAACTAAATTTCAACAATCCACTACATGGCTCAAAAAGGGTATATCCATTATAAAAAAAATAATAATAATAAAAGCTATTTGAGTTTAGCTATTGGCTTGACTAAACTCGTTTGACATCAGCTTGAAAGTGATTTTATTTATTTATTTATTTTTTCCTCAAGAGTTAAACAAGTTAAACTTGAATATATATTAAAATTTTTAAAATTTCAAATTAAGTTTGAACAACTTACTATTCTACTCAACTCAATTTGTGTATACCTCTAGTTATCATGTCTAAATTATCGAAAGACTTAAATGATGAGCTTTAAGATCAGAAGTTTAGCAGGGCCTAAATGATCCAACAATTGGCTTTGCTATCTCAAGCTTGGTTTGTGCATTTACATATTACTGGTAATATACCTGATAAATCTCACAAATCAACCCCTAGGATTGGCTCAAGTGAGCAAAGATCAGCTTCATAGGAAACAAAAATTCATTGAGACACACCAGAATCTCGGATTATGGGAACTAATGCTTAGATCACCTCTTTGACACCCTCCAATCCATGGTCATTGGTGCACTTAACCTTCTGCAACAAATAGCCGAGCTCCAGATGTTCGTGAACAACTCGGTCAGTCCTAATCATGAACAAGAATAACTAAGCATGTGAACAGAGAAGGCTATGGACAAATGAACAATTGAAGCCTGGAAACAATGAACTTCTGTTATATTGAAGAATAAATGAAGTTTTATTATATTGAAGAACCAACCATACAATTCTTTTTTTTACATTAGTTTTCTTAGATCCCAAACACCGCAATGAGAACACCATGGAACTATTTCCTCAAAAGCTTAAAATTATCCTATGAATCCAACCCTCTTTCCACCATCATTATCCTCACTCTCTCTACATCCTCAGATCTTCTTGCATTGCCATAGATCTTCATCAAGAGCTCAAAATTATGTTCATTATCCGGCTCCAACTCAAAAAGATGATGCGCAGCCACCTCACCAATATCTACATTGCAATGAAGGTAACATGTGTATAGCAACGCTCCCCATACCGTTGGACCAGCCTCAAACTCCATCCCATTCACTGCAATTTCATAAGCCTCATCAATCAACCCCGCTCTTCAAAAGATTCACCATACAAGCATAGTGTTCCATGAGCGGGCTTACTCCGTACCTCTCTCTCATCAACAAAAATAACCTTTCTCCATCCTTAACCAAACCTAAATGAGCACAGGCTGACAGCAAAGACACAAATGTGATGCTGTCTGGCAAAGCACCAACACTTTCCATTCTGCTGAAATAAATTAGAGCTTCTGGGTCTTTGCAGTGAGCTGAAATTATTGAATTCCACGATACGACATCTCTTTCGGGCATTTTCTCAAACAACCAACTTGCTCGCTCCAATTTGCAATGATTAGAGTATAGAACTATCAAAGAATTAGCCACTGACACATCCCATTCAATTCCTCGCCTAAGTACCCATCCATGAACTTGGGCTCCAATTTTCAGCGAAGGCACACCGGTGAGAATTGTGGACACACCAACTGAGTCTGGCTCACATTCATTGTGTATCATTTGACGAAAGATATCCAATGCCTCTGCCAAAAGCCCGTGATGAATATAACCCGTGAGCATCGAATTCCAGGAAACCAAGTCCCGAAATGCTATTTTATTGAACACCCTTCGAGCCTTAACAATGTCACCACACTTCGCATACATATCAACAAGAGCATTGAGCACAAACCCATCATCCCAATACCCACAACGAACTATTTGCCGATGAGCGTCCTCGCCAATTTGTATCGACCCAATTCCACTACATGCTTTCAATACTCGGGGAAAGGTAAACCGGTCCGGCTCAACCCCCTCTTCCTCCATTTGAAAGTAAAGAGCCAGTGCATCTTCATATTGACCCAGTTCAGCATACCCTGAGATAAGCGAATTCCAAGGGAACGCGGAGGCGTTTCGCTTAGACATTTGATCGAACACATGGTGGGCCTTTTCGATGTGCCCACCAGACGCATAGAGCCTTAGGAGCTTCGATGAGAGCCCGACATTTTTGCGCAAAAGCTTTTCGGGTATAAGGCGGTGAATCCGAAAACCATGATCGATGGCCTGTAACTGAAAGCATGTCTCCAAGAGAGAAGAGAAGATTTGAGCATCGAGTTTTATGCCTTTCTCAACTGATGATTCGAGTTCGTCAATGACGGAGTTGAGGGCTTGGAGTTTTGTCTGGGGATGGGGTTTTTGTTTGATTAGAAGTGGGGTTGGAGATGATATTGGGAATGAGAGTTTGGGTTTTGTGTTCTGATGAATGTGTTTTTGTTTTTGCTTTTGTTGTTTCTGTTTTTTTGATGTGTCATTACACAGGGTGCATGAAGAGACCACGTAGCAGTTCGGAGATATCAAGGTGATGTCCATTAACGTTGAACAAAAACAGAATGTCCAAATAACATGAAACAAATATAGAAAATTTTATTTATATCTCTATATATAAGTTTTTAGTTATAATATACTTAATATATTAAACTCTAAATACTAAGTAAAAATTTGTCTTGAACCCCTTAAAATCCAAATAATTTTAGGTTGTTTTTTAAAATCTCTTCTTAAATTTTATTTTTTTTAATTTTAATTATCCCAATATTACCAAAGATCAAAAATTTAAACACCCAAAATACCGAGAAAAAAATACACGACTAAAATTCAAATATAGTATGATTTGCAAATAAACAGAATTTGAATCAAACATTATTTTTATTGGTACTTGTATATAACACAATTATGATTTCAATTTTTTGAGTTATAACCAAAAAAAGTAAAAAAAAAATGTCATAACTAATACAATATTAAATATAAGTAAAGAATTTATGAGTAATAACTAAACTAATGTCATAACAAAAAAGAAAAATTAGTTATAACCAAAGAAAAAAATGACATAATTAAAAATGTATATAGTAAACCATTTTAAAGGGATATTAGAATTTCCTTTTCATTTTTAGCATTATTGTACATCTTATATCATCCTTTCGATTCACCCAACTTATGTAGGAGTGATAAAAATGAATTTATAACAAATATGTATTTTATGCTTTGTAGTAGGCGTATATTTCTTTAATATCAATTATAATTAGAATTTTTCAAAAAAATAAAATAAAATTATGATATTTCTTAAAAGCACATGAATATCATAATTTAATAACATTACATAATTAACACCATAGATATTATAAGTTTCAGATCAAATCCAAAAAAAAAAAAGATATCCAATAATTAGAATAACACTAAAAAGGCAACGTGATAAAAGCTATGCATCAATTAAGCTTTTGAAATTATACTGTACACAAGAACATAGAGTTTGTGAGTTTGTTTGCCTTTTTTTTAATATTCTAAAAAAATAAAAATAATTTAAAGAATTAACTCACTTTTCAAATTATTTGGGAACCTGCTTTTTGAAATCGCATTTTGAAAATTTAATTTTAAATTGAAAATTACATTTTAAACATGCAATTTCACTTGAAAATCGCACGTTGAAAATGTCTTATATCTTAGAAAAGTCTATGTCATCATAAAATTATATTTTCAAAATACAATTTTTAAAAACAGATTAGTTTCTCAAATAGTTAGAATTTTTTTTTTAATATTCTAAAAAAAAATAATAATTTAGACAATTGACTCATTTGTCAAACTATTTGGGAAACTAACCTATATTTTGAAATAGCATGTTGAAAATGTAATTTTATGATGACATGAACTTCACTAAGATATATCACATTTTCAATATGCGGTTTCAAGTTGAATTGCATGTTGAAAATATAATTTTCAATTTAAAATTATATTTTCGAAATGCAATTTCAAAAAATCGGTTAGTTTTTCAAATAATTTGAAAAGTGAACCAATTCTCTAAATTATTTTTTTTGGAATATTTTTTAAAAAATCATAAGAATTAGTACAGAAAAAAATTCACAGTTTGACCCCCAGTTGAAAATTTTGATTACGCCCCTACTCATGGGTGACTAACCAGTCCAATCCGTATGGCACACACAAGAGTTGGACCCAAATAGACCCAACTGACCCATTGATATTTGACCCAATTGTTTGAAGGAAATCAGGACTTCGTGCGGATCCATGCAAGTAAAGCCAATAAAGATCCATTGCCATCTTTTTTTTTTTTTTGGGATTGCAAAAGGCAGAAAACTAGTGAAGCTCATCTCGTGTATTACCACCAACAATATTTCAATTTGAGAGAGTTTTTTAATTTAATAGGTTAATTTTGAAACCGATTTCAATAATTCATGTTGTTCACTTTTTTAGACTTGATGAGTATAATTTTTTTGTGAAAAAAAATAATAATAATGACACATCAAGAATTATATGTTTAATTAATATTTATTTTTAAAAAATAAATAACAAATATAATTTTAAGAATAACTATTTATTTTTTGTAATATAAATTTGATTCAAATATATAGCTACTTTTGTCCGATCATTTTAATTTTTTACAGAATATTCTACCCTACGAGTTTTAAAAAGTGAATAGTTTGGATTATTGAAACAAGATCTGTGGTGGACTCCACAAGTCCCTTAAATTTTCTCATGTTGAGATATAAATATGAGAGAAATTTATTTATTTATTTATTTTTTGTAGTAAAATATAAATTTCATTCAAAAAATTTTCATTCTAAACCCATTCACTATAAGTGAACTACAAAAGGTAAACGGTGTTGTTTTGCTGGGCTCATTTTAACTTTGAATAAAGTTTGGTAGCTCGAAATTTTCGTGGCTCAACTACTCGAATTTCAAAACGACGTCATTTTGATTTTTTTTTTTCCCTTATCTTTTCTCTGAAACATGGAGAAGAGAGAAGAGAGAAGAAAGAGAGAAGAGGCGATGGCGGCGCGATGATGAAAGCATGGGGCGACGGTGATGGCACGACGGTGGGTCTCTTCCTCCCTCTTCTCTCAACAGATCTATGTGTGATTTGGTATTGATTTGTGGGTTTGTTTTTTATTTTGATTTGTGAGTTTGTTTTTTATTTTGATTTGGTTTTGATTTGTATACACAGATTAGTTGATGTGGGTTTGTTTGTGATCAGTTGTTGATTTTTATTTTGTTTGTGGATTTGTTTGTTTGTTTATTGATCAGTTTTGATTTGTTTGTGAATTTTGATTTTGTTTGTGGGTTTGTTTGTATACACAAATCAGAAGGTTGGAACTTCACTCGTTCATGTTTGAGAGAGAGAGAGAGAGGGAAAATTGTGTTAGTAGAAGGCAAGAAAGGAAAAAGGAAAAGGAAAAAGAAAAGAAAAGAAAAGAGAAAAAAATCAGGCTATTCGAGCCCTGTTTTTCGAGCTACGTAGCACGGTTGTTTAACTTTTTATTACAAAGGTACTAAACACAAATTGGTGACTTTTTGATATCACTACATGGTGGTGTGACAATACCCTCTCCAAACTCTTCCAAATCCTTATACACTGGATTTGAGGCAGGTGTCGTAACAATAACTGTACTGTCACACCCGATGATTTATTGAGATCATATTTTGATAATCTATGTTATTCATATTATAGAGTTCATTAAATATATTATTAGTATAAAATATGAATTTAATCAAATAAGTATAATTTCATGATCAAGTTAAATAATAATCTTAAAAAATTATTAAAATCATATTAACCGTTTATTTTTCTAAACATAAACGTGATTATGTTGTGACTTACAAATATCTAATTAACTTAAATATTTTTATAAATAATCTTTTCAACAAATCCTACACTATAAACGGTTAAAATTATTAAAATAATTTTTGACACGCTTCAAAGACTCACAATATGATGTTGTGTTGATAAGGGATAACACCCACCCCAAATCTAGTTTGGGAAGGCTATCATAGCACTGTGTTGTGATAGCAAAATGTCATATTGTAGATTACAAATATCTAATTAATTTAAATTTTTTTATAGATAATTTTTTAACAAAATTTACAATATAAATTATTCAGACTATTAAAGTAAATTTAATATATACTTTCAAAAACTCATGATACTATTATGCTTATAAGAGATAACACCAATCCAAAACCCCTATGCACTAGACGGAGAGTCATTTACCATCTTAATTGTCTATAAATTGCTCGGAACGTTTCAAATTTTGTCATATGGTAGCATTAATCTAACGACAAAAGAAAAAACTTATTTTTAGCTGGTAATTTGAAATTAAGATTTTTTTAATTTGAATTTTAGATTTTATACCATTTCAATTTTCTCCTTATCAGGGTACGCTTTTAAACCTAAAACATTGATTATTTGAAAACTCACCAGTTAGGTCCCATCGCATCAAATAGAAATATGATAGGGATGAAGCAAAGTTGTTACTACTGTAACGGACTAGGTACCTTTTCTTTTTTTTCTTTTGAAAAAAAAAAAATTATAAATCAACGTAAGCTCATTTCGTAAAATTAACTGGAAAATTAAATCAACCTAAAACTAGGTACCTTTTCAATTAATTTTGTTTTTCAATTAATTTTTTTTTCAATGAATTTTTTTTAACCTAATACTAACCAATGGGGCAATTGGTAATGCTACTTTAAGCCTTAGAAAGAAGATTGTAATTTCTAAAATGCGAGGGGTGTCAATATCATTTATCCAATGAGGGCAAAATTAGTATATAAAAAAATTAAATTACTGAATGGAGAATCTGTAATGAAATTTTAAATCCCAAGAGAAAATGTAATTTTCAAAAAATAAAAAAAAATTGTAATAAATATAAACTTAAAAAATGTTAGTGTAATTTACCCAAAAATATTGATTACTCCATTTGAAAACTCACCAGTTAGGTCCCATCCCATCAAATAGAAATATGATAGGGATGAAGCAAAGTTGTTACTACTATAACGGACTAGGTACCTTTTCTTTTATTTTATTGGTATGATATTCATGGGTACTGGTATGTTGCCCCATTTAGTAGAGTGGTAGAAAATGATTATAGATTATAATTTACAGTTGTGAGTATAAATTGGTAATTTGTTTGGTATAGTTGTGAGATTATAAATTTAAGTAGTAGAATAGTGTTTGGTAAATAAGCTGTAAAATAGTTTTTGCTGTATAACTGACTTTTTTGCCCTTATATGATATAAAAATGATAATTTTCTCAGTTTTTTTTTTCAATTTTAATTAAAAAAATTATTTTATTAATAAAAGTCAATATAATTGGTATTAATTAGTATCAACTAATATAAAAATTGATACACTTGATAAAAATGTAATAGAAATATTATTGTAATAATTTTTTTCAATTATAAATTAATTAGTATCAATTAATGACTTAATTAGTCTGAATTAATACTAAATAATTAGTATTACAGAAATCATTATTTTCATTAACCATATCAATTGTTAATTTTGTTTAATTTATTAATTCATTACAATCAATATCAATTAATATACATGTCATTTCATTTAATAGAAGTTATTTCATT